TACCAAAAAAATTCACTTTTTACCAGCCAGCTTACCATACGTGTCAGAAGCTTTTACCATCCTTAGAAGACACTTCGCCGGGTGAGAATATGGTTAACTGGTATTCATAAACTTCAAAGATCACAGTAACTAACATAGATAGCCAATAAATTATTAATACCACTCGATACTTAACCCAAGGCCTTCTCCTTATGATTAAGTCAAGGTTATATCGAAGTTAATTATTATATTTAATATAGTAGCTAATATTAAAAAAACATTACTTATTTTCAGACTCAATTATGCAGAGAGATGATTGATCAAGTTGTTTAGCATGTCGTGCATGTGCAAAATGCCAATGGCACTTGGAGGAAAAGTGGAGGAAGGAACCAATCCCCGTTGGTTATTTTAATGGAAAAGTAACTTAAAAGATGGTTTATATTTTTTAAGGTGACCAATATAAATATTAATTATTAAATTTTTTTATATAGAGTAAAAAAAAATTCAGAGTGAACACCTATAATAAAATGAATAATTTATATAAATAAATTTAAATTTCAGATATAATTTGAATCCGTCAACTGATAAGATCGAGACAAAAAAATATTATTAATTGAAAAGGAGAAAATCAATTTTACGATTCATGTCCTATGCGCTGGTGATTTATAATTTGACAATTGAGAGTATGCTACGTACATATGAGTTTTAAACGCAGGAAAGCGACCTACGTCCTCCTTGATTTGTTAAACTATAAAGAGTCGATGTACGATTTAATCATTTAAAATTATATCTCGTTCCACACTATGATATAAAAGAAAATCTCAAGTTTAATGTTGTCCAGCAACTTGCCCAAGCAATCACTAAATCTTGATGTGACATTATTTAATCAATCTACAGTTGACACGTGGCACACCATTTTAAACCGTAGTAGTGAAGGCTTCTTCTCCCCCGAAGCTTTTAGTTTTGCAGAAAAGGGTCATGTTCCCGGCCCTGTTTGTCAGTTTGGGATGAAATTTCATTCAGCTGATATAACAGGAATATGCTCTGCTGCGTTGCGTATATCGTCAACAAGCCTCAAAGTTCGCAAATTGAAACTATACTTTATGCTGCATTCATGGAAATCCATGTGCCTTCATATGAACGCATCTATTTTAAATTGCCCAAGTTGACGGTAAACCCTAATTTAAGCTTTTCTTTTCGGCAAAATTGGCCCACAAAGCAATTTATTTACGTAACGAGTTCTCTTAACACTATAAAAACTGTCGTAATTCCTTAAATAAAATGCTTTGTATCATATTAGACTAAATAAAATGCTTGTGTGCCGTATTGAGCCAATGCTACCTTTCTTTTACACAACAAATAATATCAATCCTATCTCCAATCTGTCGATGTATCTTATAGTCTATTCTTCCCACGCACGAAAAAGTGGACGGTAATTTATATTTAATTAACATTTTTTTAAAAATTTATTTTATAAATCAAAAGTAAAAAAAAAAATAGGATTGAAAGCAGGGGCCAAACTCATCCCACTTATAAGGTAGCTCCGTTAGTGTATATGACCAAAACCTAGGTAATTTTGGCTAAGACGGCTAACTATTTAGTCTAATACGATATAATATTTTTTATTTTAAAAATGATGATATTTGTTATAGTGATTTGAAACTCGTCATGTATATATGACGAGTTTCGATAAAAAATATTTTTTATTAAAACTCGTCACTCTGACATGATAAAATAAAATAAAAAAATTGTATTATATTGGAACTTCTCATCTCTATATGATGAGTTTAGATTAAAAAAAATATTATTTAAACAAACTCGTCATGTGGGCGTAACGAGTTTATCTTATACTGTAACATTTATCGTCAATCCTAAATTAATTTTAGTGATAACCTAATAAACTAATATTTTTTATCCGCATGGCCTATTGATCTATTTTTACCCCATAACCTACCACATATGGGTTAAAAAAGGACTAAAGGAAAAGGTAACCAAATTTCAAAGAAAAATCAGAATATGTGGATGCAGACGTTGTCGGGCTTTTTGGGCGAGCCAGATGCCTGAGGCAACGATGAGGATGGAGCATAGGAAGGCTGCGACATTGAGAACCGCTGGTAAGTGTTATGTAATGATGAGGATGGCCCAAACTTTACTTTTAATAGACTTAAAGAATTGGACCAACAGCCCGACCTTTGGGCTTATCTTTTAACAACGGGAGGGTTACGTCATATTACTGTAATAATATGATAACCATAAAACAAAATCATATATTAATTCAGATATCGAAATAATAGGTTACATCTAATATAATTTAAATCTCTATAATTTTAAAAAAATGTAATACGTTGATCAGGTTTAAGTGTAAATGTAAGATGTAAATATTATTTCTGAAAGATAAAAAAATATTAGTTAAAAATGTTGTTGAAGGATATGTTTTCAAATGTAAATATTAGATTCAATATTTCAATTGCAATATAAATAACACGATTAAAATATATCTAAAATAATCTCTTTTTACTATTACAAAAGTATTATCACATTAATATACACTTGTACGTTAAGATATTTTGGGCAGGAGATTTCTCAAGAATGGGACCTCGTCTAACATGTGTAAAACGTGGTTTGCAAACTGATGTCATTGGTGACATAACTTATTAATTGAATTTTTTTAGCAGTGAAAATTCTCCTCCTTGGCTTGGTGTATCTTAAATTGTCTGCATAATACGTAGAGAGGAAGGCAGGTGGAGGTGCCATCCTGATTCTTCCTTCAAACTTATTTTTGCTGACCAGTTTGGCCAAGTCCTGTTGACTTCGCGTCTTACCTGTGATAACGTTATCGTCCATGTCCTCTGTTGGTGTATTAATATTTTTTAATAATTTATTTATTTGACGTAATTATAAGATAATATTTATTTAATAATTTTTTAATTATTAATAATATATACACAATTATTTTAACTCAGAACCTCTAAAATAAAATAAAAAAATCTACCATAAATTTATTGATATTTATAATAAAACATTCAAAATATTTGGTTCAATGACTTTTTTCTGTCACAATATTTTTTTCAGGACGTACTACTAAAATAAGATAAGTTTTAAAGAACAATTACATAAAATTGTTTAATCGTTACTTTTATGTGATTGAATATTGTATAAAATATTGTCAAAATGAAAATAATTTATATAATTTAATAATATTTTATCTTTCATACCGCTTTTATCGTCCATAGAAAGTCTATAATCACATTCATGAAATCTGATATAAGATATTTTTAAAATAAAATTTTAAATTTAATTTTTATTGATACAGAAACTAAAATAAAAAAGAGCTTTTACTTTATATTTAAGTATTTGATTTAACTTAATACAATTGGTGTGGAAATTGAAAAAACTCATATTTTAGAACTGATGAGTTCAAATAGGGGAACTTTAAAAACAAGGTTTAGCTGATCTCTCAAGTATTTTTTTAGGATAAAATATATAAATAGTCCCTAAACTTTTAAAATATATAAATAATCCCCAGTACGACTCCGATGTCGTAGATTATTCAAAGCTTTCGAACATATACATACATATATATATATATATATGTGTGTGTGTGTGTGGTGGGAAAGCTTCATTTCCTTATCTTCAAATAATATAGAAAAAGGGTGGAGTTTAATATTGGATTATATGTGCCAATTTTCTAGTTACGTAATAATTTATGTGAGATACATATATCCTTATAATTTTATAGTCAATTATCTCGTTAATTATTATCGTGTATATTAAAATTTATTATTGGACTTTCGTTTTAGTCCAATCCAAAAAATTTGCTTCGGACCAAACATATTTCAGATTATCATTATTAGCTGATTTGGTATCAGTAGAGATGGGACAAAAGCCAATATAACAATGGTCCCAAACTATCTGGTGGGACAAGATATACTTTGTCTTTTCCCATGTAGTTATCCACCGGCGTCAAATTATTATGCGCCATAGATATACCTTTTCATCAAAAGGTACAGCCTATTTATTAACATTTTGTAGAAATCCAGAAGAAGGATCCGGATAAGCTAAATGTAGGTTTTACATTAAAGTGTTGTTATTAGGGCCGTAAACGAGCCGAGTCTAGCTCGACTTTACTTGAAAACTTGCGATCATAAAATTTTTAAGGTCGACTCGAACTTAAAATCATGAACTGAAGCCAGTAAAAGCTCAAAATAAAAAAAATCTTAAACTTAACTCGATCGAAGTTTCAAACTTAAACATAGACCTTAAATACATTAAAATATTATACTATATTTTTTCAAAAAAAGTAACACATAAATATTAATTCTACAAAATGTTTGATTTCAAGTATCGAGTAGTTCGTTTCTGCTCGTTAAGAACTCGAGTCGAGTCCATTCGATTCGAATATTTATCAAGGTTTGATCGAGTCGATTTCAAGTATCTCGCGATCTGTCTCGTCTCATTTACCCCCACTAATTGTTATGCTTTTTTTATGACATTTTAATTTAGTCAATTTTGAGAAAATCCCCGGATGTTTGGATTCCGTTTATTTTCTCTAAAAGAAAGGTGTCCGTTCCTTGTTATCTTCAAAGACCTTAAGTTTGGTTTTTTCCACTACTGTCGTTAACACAACTAGCCCTAAAACGAAGAGAATAAAGTTGTCACAGTTGCACTTAATCCACTTTTGTTTTATTCATTCTATCTAACATATTATAAAACAGTATTGAATTTGATCATCCACATAGTTTGATTTCACCTTACATGCAATTCAACATTAAAAAAATGAAAATTCTAGATCTTTTTTACAAATAATTTAATTAGAATTTATTAGTTTTAATTTATAAATTAAAAAAATATGTAATATAGAATTCAAACTCTGATTTATAACATTAATAAATTTATTACGAGAATGCATAAGATTTACTCAGGCTGCTATTTTCTGACTTTCTGGACCTTTCCATATCCAAAAACAGCGTGAAAATTCAGCTTAAGCCCATTGAAACAATTTGATTAAAAAATATTGATTTACAACATATAATATATTGCCGGCTCTGCCCTCCTGTAACATCATCAGTTAAGAAAAATATTTGTTAAGCTTAAAAAAAATACAACAAACAATACTACTGATTGATTACGAGAATTATGTGGCTTCAATTTGAACATCAACGATGTGGGTATTCATTCGGTTTGTTCTTAACAAAAGATTTCAAGTAACGCTGATAGATCTGATGAATAGAGTTGCCGGCGATGACTTATTGTTTTCTTCCAAACCCGGCCTTGGGGCGGCAAGCGTGAGCTCCAAATCAGGCGCCAGATTTGAAGACATCGGTGCTGCTACAACATTTGATGTTTTTAACTGAGAATCAACGTGTTGCAAGTGAAACTTATCGAGCATGGCATGATGATGACGACGATGATGAAGGTGATGGTGGGAGTTTGAGGTGTTAACATGATGTCCAACCATGCTACTGCTTCGGACCTGTCATGTTGGGAACAAGGACTACAATCATAAGATGTTTTTGTTTTCTATGATATAATCTAAGATTTCTTCAGTTAGAATTGTAAATTTATGGAAGTTATATTATACCATGTCGAACAGGCTCGAACGTCGCTTCTTCTTGTCGAGAGTTGCCTGTCGGAGAAAATACTTTTGAGCATGGCTTGCGACTTGGGTTGGAGTTCTTGTTGTAACGAAGTTTCTAGAGATGCCTCTCCAGTCTCCTTTCCCTAGCTTCTCCAGCCCTATTAGAAATACTCGATGCTCCTCTTCTGTCCATGGAACTCCTGTCGAATCCAATAATATTTCTGGTCATTTATCTATTTTTTTTGGGGGGGGGGGGCGGGGGACTCAAAAAACAGAACCTGAATCACATGCTCAAAAAACACACAGATGGTGAAAAACATTAAAGAAATCGACTGACCTTTCTTTCTTTCAGGAGATGGACCCATGAGACCATCAGAAAGATAACAGATGGAAGTTTTATCAGAATTGTCGTCCGTGGAGATTCTAGGAGAAGACAAAGAAGAAGAAGGAGAGGAGGAAGAAGATAACCAATCCATGCTAAAACACTTGTTCATATGATTGTTGAAGGCGACGGATGATGAAGATGTGTCGAGTTGAACACCAAAGAGCCTAAGTCCGCCCACAACACTAGTGTTACCTCTAAAACTGGTGCAGGTCCTTAAATTATGGCCTATGTTCCCACAATGTGAGCATTTCCTGCCCATTTCTGTACACACAAAGCTCAACTTCTCGTCCAAAAAAAACACACCCAGGGATAACAACCCCAAAGAGAAACCCAGAGATCAGAGAAAGAAAGAAAAAGAAAAAGGATTAGAGAGAGGAAATAATAAATAAGAGATAGGTTGGGTGGTTTATATGATGGAGGAGTAGGTGTGGGGTTTATGAAAATGGAGGAATACCTATATCAGGTGATTGGATGGTCATAAATTATTGTTGGATATTTTTTCCAACTTTGGTTCGAAACAAAATAAATTATACAATATTAAACCTCCCTTTCTACATTTCTTATCTTATATCATCTCATGCTCCACATCTTTCTTTTCTTCTTTTTCATCTGTCTATAAAGAATAGATGTAGCTAGCATGATATATATATATATTATAAGGTTTTTTTTTCATAAATAAAGCATAAGAACAATTGAGATTGAATTAAAGTCATTAAATAATATTTATTGAAGATAACAATCAATATAATTAAATCTAAGATTCAATTGAGACCATTAAAAACATATTATGATCTGGAACATGATAAGTTTTCCTTCTAGACAACAATAATATATAAATATTGATACTTATCCATGGGGTGAAATCAAAATCCTTTAAGGATTATAAAAAAATTATAAAAAAAATTAAAATATAATTATATCATTCTTTTAATTTATTCGTATATTTCAAGGAGATTAAACAAAAACATACATATGGGTCGAATGTATAATTTTATCATATTAAATTTTAAAAAGATTATAATTAAAATTTAAAGGAGGCCATGGCCCTCCGCCATGAATACACTAGACATATACGTATAAGTTGACTCTACTTGTTACTTGGGCAAAGAATATATAGTATATACGAGTTAAAGAGAGAGAGAAAAGGGAGAAGAAATAGCATAAATGACGTGTTTCAAAGGTTTTTTTTATTAAACTAACTGTTTATAAAGTAATGTATGTTCTAAATGTTTTTAATTATTTGACAATAAACGTTTAATCATCCTGATGCAATTATCGGTGTTCGAAATTATGACCTCTAGAAACAACATCGATTCCTTTAATCATATAAATAAATTGGTCCGTACTCATGTATGTATTTCAAAATTTGATGTGAATCAACCTGCCTAAATTGATGTGTTATAATGATGTATTATCTAAAAATAAAATTTATTTTAAAATCATATAATAAATATTCATTAATAACATAAAATAATTATGCCCTTATTGTTAAGGCAGAGGTAAAATACTAAACGATGGTTTTTTTAGGAAAATAAATAAAATTAATTTAAATGTTTAATGTTATTGCCGTTGCCAATTTTAATGAATTAAATTCATTTATTTCATTCATCATCGAATGATTATTATAAAAGTAACATTTGATATTTTCATTTATTAATAAAATATTTTTAAAATTTTTAATGAAACATTTTTTAAAAATACTATATATTTATTATATAAAAAACCTTTTCGCTTGAATCTTTCAAATCCTTATTTCAAAATTCAAACCTTCCAGTTTAGTCCTTTACTAGAGGTCTTCAGTTCTTCAATAACGTGCTTACTGGGCGGCTAATACTGGGGTATAATTATTCCATTCTTACCTAATTCTTCTTCTTACTTAAAAAACTATGTTCCAAAGAAAACTTGACAACCTCACTCTACTTGATATCTCTCATAATATATTTTTTTTTATTTTTTTAATAAAAATATTATATTATATTAGATAAGATATGTACCGCTAATGATATTAGAAGCTAAATTGGGAAGGGAGAGAACAGTAAATTCCCTTTCCTATACAAGTAAATTAAATTTGTTTTATATTAATTAACATGTATTGGGTGTACAGTTAAAAGTACGTTGTAAATTTAAATATTAAAATAATATTATTTATAGTATTAATAATAAATTCCAAATATACATTATAATGAATATAAAAGAATGCTAAATAAAATTTATCTTCATATTTATTAATTTTATGAGTTAATACTATCAAATCATGAAAGAATATTTAACTAGGGCTAAGTAACGAAATCGAGAAAATCGAAAAATCGATATAAATTGAGTAAAATAGTTCGATTCGATTTGGTTCGGTTTGGCATTATAAGGTTCAATTTTCGGTTCGGTTTAAAGTCTCAATTCTTTTGATTCGGTTCGGTTCGGTTCGAGTTTTCCATATGGAACTCATTTATTCCATATTGAACCGAATATGCAATTTTTTTAAAAAAATTATAGTTTCAAGTGATTTTTTCATTGAAAAACCGATAAATCGAACCGAAAACCCGAACCGAACCAAAAAAATTGGTTTCGATTTTTTAACTATTCAATTTCGGTTTCAGTTTAAATTTTAAAAAATCGTTTATTTCGGTTCGATTTAATTTTTGGTAAAAAACCAAACTAAATTAAACCGAACCGAATACACCCTTAACTTCAACCGGAATCCAAATAGACCTAGTAATAAAATATTAAGGTAACGGAGTTTAAGAAAACCAAATCATCCACCGGCAAGTTGAAGGAATTTATTAATAGAAAACAGTACCTCGGCATCCAATTAAACTTATTCTTAAATATATTTTAGTTAAAAATATATAGCAAAATATGAAAGTGAAAAAATATTGAGTTGATATTTTATACAAAGTTAATAGTATGTATAAATCTTACAAGGTTAATATTTGTAAATAATAAATTTTAAAAATATATTCAAAAATTTCAAAAATTTTCACTAATTTTCTTAAGGATTTTTTTAATAGAAAGTTGCTAGTTTTATTAAAAATAAAAAATATCCAAAATTACAATAAAGATTTATAAGCATAATTGTAAATCTAAAATATAATTATGACATTTTCTTATTACCATTGAGACAAAAACTAGCCACCTAGATCACATAACGATCAAAGAAGGAAAAGGTTAAAAAACCTAATAAAAAAACTTGAATAAAATAAATATACGAACAAATCTGACTACATTGGTAAACAAACTACAAAAAGGGATGAAGTTACTAAAAGACCGTCGACAAATCACCAATCAGAGTTAAGCGACGTGAAAAAACTATCTACGAACGCAAAACGCGTATCCAAATAGGGCCCAAAACTGGGAAGATCATTATTATAACAAATAAACGTCATATTGATCAGACGTGACGATATCAAATCCACCCTAAGAAAAAAATAAACAAAAACAACGGCAAAAAAATATAAGCCACCAAAAGGCAGAGTGAAACATGCCACAAAGGTATAGATAAACGTGTCATAAAAACAGAGAACATGTCACAAAGATATAATTATTCTTATTTAAAAACTAAAAAAACAAAGAAAAAAAGATAACTAGCGGGTGACAACCAACATTAAAATTGGTGTCGTCGCGAGTTAAACAAAATTAAAGAATAAAAAATTCGACTGATCAATAAAATTGACACAAGTTGTAAAGAAAAAAAAGCGAGAAGAGAGGACCTTAAGGAACTTTTAATTCCTTGTCAAAAAATATTTTATCCGAATAATTTCACCCTAAAAAGACTAAAATATTATAAAACATATATGTACTTAACAACTAAATGTATCATACTTGTATTTGTCATTTTACTCATATCAGATATCAACTAAATTTTACCAAATACTTCTATATAAACAATTAATCAGATCAGCTAATTAAATCAATTGGTCAAACTAATTGCTGGAATCAGTTACTAACTATTAGTTATTAGTTGTTTACTAAATACTCAAGGTTATTTAAGTTGTTTTCTTTTTTTTTATAGTGAAATCATATTTAATTTATTATTACTTAATTTTTAATTAAATTTATCAACTTGCCATACATATATATCTTTTAAATATATATATATTTTTTAAAATTTCACATACTTCTGAAACATATACTTAAACATTTTTAACTTAATTTTCTTTTAATATTTTTGTATCATCTTTCCTAAAAATAAATAAAGTTATTTAATTTCATTTATTAAAAAATGAATCATGTGGGTGATTAAGATAATACCTCAACGCATTAAGCTTAAAGTGTTTCGATCTTAAAATTTTAAGATGCTCTACGTTTTTTTAAAAGGATAAAGTATACAAATATATTCGATTATAGGGTGATGTTTTGTTGAGTCTCGACTATAAAAAAGTTACAAAATGATTTTCTAACTATAAAATGTTACTTTGTTAAGTCCTTCGACTATTAAAAGTTATAAAATAGTCACACAACTATTTATTATTTTCAAACTCGCCATTTTCCTTTAAAAATTGATGGCAATCTGAGTTGTACATTAACTCGTTGACTGTGATATGATAAAATTCAATCTTAGAATCTCAAACGACTATCATATCCCAATCATGTTAATATCCAACTCAGACGATAATCAAAATTTTAACGAAAAAAGAACGAGTTTGAAACATAATGAATAATCAGATGATTATTTTATAACCATTAATAGTCTCGACTATAAAAAAGTTACAAAATGATTCTCTAACTATAAAATGTTACTTTGTTAAGTCCTTCGACTATTAAAAGTTACAAAATAGTCACACAACTATTTATTATTTTCAAACTCGCCATTTTTCTTTAAAAATTGATGGCAATCTGAGTTGTACATTAACTCGTTGACTGTGATATGATAAAATTCAATCCAAGAATCTCAAACGACTATCATATCACAGTCATCATGTTAACATCCAGCTCAGATGACAATCAAAATTTTAACGAAAAAAGAACGAGTTTGAAACATAATGAATAATCAGATGACTATTTTATAACCATTAATAGTCAACAAATAAATACTCTATTATCAAAGAACTATTTTATAATCAAGTGACTTAATAAAGAAATATCCGATAGTCGGCATCATTTGTAATCAAAATAGAATTTTAATTTGAAAGAGAGGGAAATGCAATACAATAAATGGGAGGAATTGGCACCGCAAATGTTGCTTTCAAAGGAAGGACATCAACCACTAGGCAATAGGCATAGCTAATAACATGAGATGCATGCACTTTGCTGCTTCTATGACTTTCACACCAAAAGAATCCTCTACGATTTGTCAATAGAAGATAGAGGGAAGGAAGATTACATCATAGATAATATAATCTAAATTTTCAAATTCAGTAACTGCAGGTCATGGTTGAATGTCTAATGTGCAAACCACTTTCATTCATCTTTTCTTTCTTGAAATATTATAATGTCACTGATTTTGAAGCATTGGGCTATCATTTACATGAAGAAAATATTAAAGAAGACGGCGGGTGCAAATGATCACTGCCTTTTTTTAAAGAGAAAACAGATAAGAAAGTGGGCTCCTTTTTCTGGAAAAGAAAAGACAAGGAAGCAGCAATTTCTTCAGAGCAACATCATTATCTGACACTAAGCAAAGCACAACATGCTGGATTATTACTGGATTTGTAATGTTTCGACAAATGAAATTTATCAGTCAAATAGGCAACACCGAAAGGGCAAAGCTATGGACCACAAGTAACTTTGGACATGTAGCCAATAGGATAACATCGATTCTCTTTTATCTCATTTCATCACGTGAGATCACGGACATCAAATATATAACCCAACTTTCTTCGTAAGGGAAGAGTTGAGTGATTCATTATCTCCAATATTTCTCTCTATCTTTGAAATCCCATCTTTGTTCTTCGTCTTCGGAATATGGCCCTCGCCCGTACCAGGAGGAGTAAACCACGATAAACCAATCAACCCACCGTAGTTTTTCAGCCCGTTAAACCATCTTATTTCATGTTGAACGTCAATAAAACTAATAGCAGTTTCACTTCCATTCATTGTATATAACATATGAACACTGCAAATCAAACCTCTATGGAGTAAACCAGAGCTTCTTGGACTAGTTCTCATGCTGGTATATGCTACATGCTCGAGAGAACACAGAGCTCGAAAATTCCAAACTTAAAACAAAATCCGCAAAGTTGGGGCACCAAAAAGATAACTCCACTCGCATCCATTCTGGATCGATTTCAAATATATGTACACACATACATATATTCCGCTTAACTGAACTGAGATGCGAAGATGATGCTGATATTAATGTCTGACCAGAAGATGCATAGCAGAAGTAAAAAAAATTCTTTATTGAATTAATACCCTCCAATTATGTACATTGATTATGAATCTAATCCTGCAAGACTCATCATCCTTGAGGGAGAAACTGTTACAGGTATAACCGACTAACTTTACTACTGGACCACACTTCGAAAATGTATGTAAGCTCGACCTCTTACAAAGTTTATTTGGTGAGGGATTGAAACTAATGGAAGTCTTAATCTACAGCTTAAAAGAATGGAATGTACAAGTTCGATAGCCTGACTCGGGATCAATTGTAACAGAAGAGCTTTAAACGTGAAGCAAAGCACCTCAATGGCGGCCCAAAGGATCAATGAGATGAATATTACTTATTGTTACGTGTGAAGAGATGATGTTCGGGTATTTCTTTTATTTGTAACCACTTCTATCACAGCTTCATCATGGGATGGAACTCTCAGGGTTGATTTCAGCATGTCATAGACTGTAAAGCCAATTGCCACAGACGGAACAACCTGGAGAAAACATACAAATATTAGTTTAACAAGAAATTATTGATGTACAGCATGAAAATTGGAAGGGACTTCTCTTACCTTCAGGTAGTTGATGCTCAGCCCTGAAAATAATTGCTTCCAGCCTTGATTTTTAGCAATCATGATGAGTGTTTCCATTGTTCCTTTCAGCTCAGGACTATTCGATGCCAATACCCTTTGGACCTAACAAGACAATTCACATTTATTACATTGAAAGTTATGGTTTGATCACTGTTCGATTTATGGGTCTGAACCTGAGGAGTAAAATACCTGCATTTGCCTCCTCACAACATCAAGGGGATATGTGAAAGTTTGTCCCAACAGACCAGCTACAGATCCACATGCTAGATTCACTATTATATTTTTCTTCTGCTCACGAGGGACATGACGCTTCATCTCCTCGTAGCAGTAAAACTTCAAACCAGAATATGGAAAAATTCCATAAAGCGATGGTGCTGAAAGACATTCTCACATATGAATAAGACCAACATATGAATAAGACCAACACACAAGTTTACTATAGCACGATTAGTTTTGAAATTCATACCGACACCACGGTAGAGCCCTCTGAGCCCTGATCCTTTGTAAGTCTTTGAAAAACAATCGAGAATCCCTCTGTAAACTTGTTCTGTATTAACTACTCCTATGGCATTAATCTTCGATGGACCAACAACCTGCCCTAGCAAATGCAATTTGGTCAGAAAAACAGAAAAGCTTAGAGAGCAGGATCCAATCCCAGCGAGTGTAGGCACTGACTGCCCTGCACCTAATTGCAGCCTCGGCTATCACAGTATATACCTGATAAGCTAATTTGGTCCGAACCAAATCAAGAGGATAAGTAAAAAGCACAGCAGTTCCTCCTGCAAATGATCCAGCAACAAGATCAAGAAGAGGGCCTCTTGGAATGTCAGGAAAACGTTTGATGATCCATCTACGGTATTGCTCGTAAGTCATATAATGAAGTGCTGCATAGGGAACAATTCGAGCGACACTAGCACCATTTCCCCTGTACATACGAATAACTTAGTAAGCAATTGAAAATGAATCTCAGGGTAACCTTCGAGTGAAAAGCTAATGAATCGGACTTTCACCTGTAGAAACCAATGATGCCTTCTGTCTTTGCAATCTTTTCGAAGGATCTAAAGAGGCCTACGCTGCGAAACTCTGCTTGTCTAGTCTGAAACAAAGTAATGAATTAGAAGTTCCATCGGCTAATGCGTGATGAATATTCAATTATTGCATGCCCCCGGAAGATGGCTGAATAAGAAGGAAAGCTACATTCTTTCAATTATAAATTATCTGTTTGCAAGACGAGGATATCCTTTTGTAGGGTTCGACACGTTAAATTTCCTAAGTCTCGACAGCAATTGATGTTCAAGAATTTCCTATCTAGGCTGAAAATGTAAACATCTCAAAACCCATATAGTTTTTAGCATCAAAACTTCATTGCATGATCCGATGAGTGGTAACTTCAGCTATGTTAAAAACAAGGTCGAGAAATCAACTACGAATGCAAACCCAATAGAAACAATCAGACAGCAAAGAAGAAACAAAAGGGCCGAACAAGTAGAGGCCATTTTGCAAGAACCAAGAAATCAAGTCAAACGGTGAAAAGCCGGAAAAAAAGAAACCTGAAACAAAATCTTGACACGCTCAAGAGGAGCGACAACCGACTTAGCAAGGCCTCCAGCAACACCACCAGCAACCAACTCTTTAGCAAACAAAGGCATGGACTTTATGATCCCATCGAAGAACATACCCATATCTCTTTCTTCTCCCTTCTTTGCCATTCTAAGCACGCGCCTTGAAGCTCCAGATAGAGAGAAAAGAGCAGGGGAGGGAAAGAAACGTTTGTATCTGATGAGGGCAGGTACCGGTGGGGGGGATGTGGGTTTTATATGTTGCGGCCAACTGACAAGTACATGCCTTGGCCCCTTTCTTTGGTATTATTAGATTAGATTCCGGTTAGGCGAAGAGAGGGGAAGGTAATTGACCCACGAGGTTGGTGGACCTGCTGATTTCAGTTCTGTTTATTAATCTTGTAATTATACTGCTTCTTTTCTGGCCTTTTGATGATAAGAATATTGTAATCTTGCCTCCTACTATTATTTTTATTCATTGATTCCAACTTGTCAGCTAAAAGTCTGTTTTGGTGGCCATTTAGATTAATTGTGTTGGCCCCTGCTCCTGGTTTTGTTTATGTCACTTACGATACAGCACTTGGATCAACTTCTTTATTCTCAAATAAAGAATGTTAAAGTACACAGTCTTTCACTGAATTATATTTAAAAGAGTTTTATTCATTAATTCTTTTTAATGATAAGATGATTAATTTATTAAATGATTATAAAATATTTTAAGATAAATATATCAATGATCACTAAAATTTTGAATTACGTTCAATTTTATCACTTAAATAACTTTTTTTCATTAAAATTATTGTTGCTAAAAAATCATTTCGACCACAGAGCATTAAACTATGAACGACAACTAATATGTTGCGTCTATGTGCCAACAACTGAGTCAACACATTCAAATGTCATTTTCCTTAATAAATCAATATCATCCATTAAGAAGGTAGCATGTGTTATCTTCTTATTAGTAAGAAAATGAAGATTAATTTTTTATTAATGAAAATGACTCTAATGAAGTTTTTTTTTTCTTTTTATTTTGATGACCTAAGTGAAAAACACCTTAAAAATTCAGTGACCATTAATATAATTCATCCTAAATACTATCATATTGTTAAAGAATAATCTTTATTATAACATCACAATGACCATCTTTCAACAATTTAATAAATTTAATGATCATTTTATAATTTTTGAAAGTTGAATGATCAAAATAATCGTCTAATCATAGTTCAATAATTTCTATTGTTACCTTATTCTTTATACCAAAAATGATATACGGTGCAATAAAAATAATATGCCTATGCCTTTGTCACAACCAAGATAAATAAATAAAATAAAATGCCTTGTTTTTCTTATGGTTTTTATTTGTAAGAATAATGAAAATACAGAAGCAGAATTTCAAGTTTCTACGGAGAAGAGGGGAAACAGACCAACAGAGTCGAGGCATAAAGGATAAGTTCTGTGAGAACTATGTATGAGAGCCTACAATATCATAAATTTCCAGGAAAATATTATCAATATCTAGTCCATGATATATTCCCAAACAGATTCTTGATAGAAACATGTCATTGAAACAATATTATCAGAATTTAGGAATAAAAGATAAAGGACTGAATCAGAACAGATCCCCAAAATATGCCTGCATTGTAAGATTAGAAGCAATACCAGCACCTCCATGGTTGAAGGGTTCAGATGAAGACATCGAGATGTGGAGCTTGCTATCAAATAAGTTCCATTGAGAGAAAAAATGGTGGAAAATGCTTTTATTCGGAAGATATTCTGTTAATGAGGTGGAGCAAGATTCTTTCGAGCTCTTCACCATTGCTCCATTCATGAACTTCTGCTTTGACAGAAGCTCGGTCACTAAATATACGGTTCCATAAAGGGTAGTTCTTCCTTGGCATTACATAATCACTGTCTCGGAGCTTCAGAGTTGGGCAGTAATCACCTGATCCATCTCCCAGGTAGATAAAATTCTGGCTGCCTCTCTCTGGACCAGAAGCACGGATTTGGTCAAGTACTATACCCTACAATAGAAACCGGGGTTAAAACTCTAATTTACAACGGAGAGTCAACCACTCTGAAGAAAATAGTTTACAGCAACATAAGGTATATGATTCTGGGATACTAAAATCCAGTAACTATTCAGCAGTAACAGAGCATCTAAACAAGAATGTCTCTTGAGCATTAGCCGACATTGAACATTGTAATGAAATTTTAACTTTAAAATATTTTAGGATTGTTCTTCCTCCTCAGATTAAAGTATGAAAAACTTCATTGTGAGGATTGATGATGAATTAGAAAAAATTAACCACATTAGTTCAGCTTAATGAACAAACTATTTTACCCAAGCAACCAGATCCCAAATCAAATTCAACATATAGACAGAGATAAATCAATCCTATTTTTGAAGGCAAATTGTCAAGGCATAAACATTTGCACCTTGCTTACTTCAAGGAGTAGGAAATAATGAAGAATGAACATATTTCCTTGCAATAAAAATCTACATGTCCACAAAATGCAAATGCAGAACCAACAATCCTTTAGCTTCAGATAAACTAATATTCCAGATAATCAACCAAATGTTCAATAAAAAAAGTAGAAAACTAATAAATCAGAAATCATCACATGATTTGATAAATATTCTCTGTCAGTTAACCTGTTTACCTTGCACAAATTAGTTGGACATAGACTGCAGCCATGTGGAGATACGGCAGAGTCATGATAAGGAAAGATCCTGAGCCTTCCTTCTTCCACAAAGCTTGGGTTTGTATAGATCTTTGAAAAGCAACCCAACAGACCATGATGCTCCAAAATTTTCTCTATGAAAAACTGATTTGCATCGCTAAGTATCCTCAAATCGCATCTGAAGTTCGTACCAGTACCAGTACCATGTAACCAACATTAACCTTAAGAGCTTTGAAAAGGAACAAAACAGGAAAAAATGAAGTCCAAGATAACTACCCAAGTGCATAGGCGGATTTAATGGCAGCAGCAGTTCTTGGATTTACCGGAGTTTTTTTCAAGCATTCTGCAATGTCATCAGCAGTCTTCCCTTGTGAATGAAGCTCCTTCATCATCCTATCCTACAATTAGATATATCATATAACAATTAAGTTCATGAAATGAAAAGGCCTCTACTCTTTTTTTCGGTAATAACCACAAAATACACGCCTTTACCAAAATTATGATCTTTTGGTCTTTAATAATCACAAAAAGCAGATTTGATCTAACAAAATAAGCTAATTTCACAGAAGAGTAGTAATTTATTATCATCGATATCAGAAAACCTACTCCCACTTTCTTCCTAGTAATCAGCATATTTATTTACACCTCGAAAATGGTGAATTTGTAAGATGCTCCTTGAAATATTCATTTCATTGAGACGTAAATCGAAAATTTTCCCCAGCAACCAAACGGTGGAAAAATGAAATACTGCAATTAACTAGCAATGGCCATTAAAAATGAAAAGGAAGTTTTAAGTCAAATTTAAAACAAACCATAAGGGAATTCCAAGGCAAGGTCGATCGAAGTTGATTGAAGAGGTCGAGGAGGCCCATCTCCGTCACAACCCATCTGTCGCTATCTCCGTCTATTAACGTCCGGTCAAAGTCAAAAACCACCACAGTAGCCGTCATTTTAGGCTGCTGTCCGATGCCTCCGCCTCTAGTCGTTATTTTGTGCCGGGAGGGAATGTGTCAAATTGGGGCCGAGGGTTAGTTATTCGGTGGTTACGGAACGATTGAACTTATCGTAGCCGTTAGATCTATAATACTATTTTTCTTTTTGAAAAAAAATAAACAATGAAGGATTAATTGGCACGATTTGAAAGATCTATAATACTTGATAAACGTTTTAAGTAAATGTTAATTATTAAATAAAAATAAAATATTAGTATAATAATACTAATTATTATTTAAAGTAATATTTTTAATTATACTCATATTAATTGTTATTTTTTTATTAATTTAGAATAAATACAAGTCAATAATATCTGTTGAGAGATAATTTTTATCATGAAACCTCAAGAATAACGATAATGTACAATCATTTATAATATTAATATATATTTTGATCAATCTTGATTACTAGTTTACAATCACTTCAACTTTTTTAAATGTCAATTCTTGTAATAATATATTTCTTCTGACCCACTAAATATATCTCTTTTAGTTTTTAAAATTATCTTGTTCAAAGTGTCTTATTAGAAAAATCAACAAATAACAACACTTATATTTTTTTTATCCTTATATCTCACTATTTTATACATATAAAAATAATTATGTCAAATCTATCAATCATATTTTAAAGATAATTTTATCATTTCTCTTGGTCAACTATATCTCCTAAAACTATGTATATAGTCAATATCATACACGAATGGAACGGAGATGGAGGGAGTATAACTCTTGTGTCTTATTATAAAAATCAACAAATAACAACACTTATATTTTTTTTATCATTATATCTCACTATTTTATACATATAAAACAATTATGTTAAATCTATCAATCATATTTTAAAGATAATTTTGTCATTTCTCTTGGTCAACTATATCTCCTAAAACTATGTATATAGTCAATATCATACACGAATGGAACGGAGATGGAGGGAGTATAACTCTTGTGTCTTGACCAATCCTGAAAGTATGAATGAGAAGAAAACAGCCTGATTGAGTTAATTAAGCTATATGCTCCTTTCATCATGCAGTCTTTATCATCTACAATATGAAGCATTTATAGAATTAATTTCCAGCATGATAACGTTTCTTTAAGATTCTTGATTTGATTATGATTTTTTCCCCTCTCGGGGAAGAATGTTTGAGAGACACGAAAGTAGTAATTGGAAGCAAAGGAATAGAAAACAATCGAAGTAAAACGTTGAACAAACATGCAAATAAGGTCTTCTCCAACATGGTAACAAAGGAGGTGGAGAGGAGTTACAGCTAGTAATAGGAATGAAATACTCTGGCAACAAAATCAGCGCATCTTGTACTCTGCATCCTCGATTGCTGACAAGTAAAGAGAAGCTTTATCTGGTAGCACAACTCCATCGTTGACCTAGTAATGGGAGAATGATTAACCAAATTTGTTTAGCCATATCAGCCATGTGAGAGCATTCAACCGAGTAATGGGAGAATGATTAACCAAATTAGGAAAATAAGAGATAGACACCAGGATTATAAGAACTTGGTCAGACAGATTACATAGAGCAGAAATAAAATAAAAAAAATGGAAACCGGAAGACATGCAGCACAAACGTTACCATAACAAAAAGAACAATTACGATCAACCCTTCGTTCACAGATATTCACACCCAATATCTCACCAGCAATGGTGACCAAAACAAAACTATTCCTTACATAAGTCAACAATAAGCAAACAAGATTCAAGGGTCCAAGTTGCTGCACACTTACTTCATGAATACCTGCATATACATACAAAAAAGGGTAAAATCAAAATAAGATCTAAATGGAAGTGCTAACTTGGAGTAAACAAAACAATGTATAGACTTGAAACATTAGTCAATCCAATCCAATGTACCACCTAATACCAACATGCTAGTTCCATAAATATGCAACCAGTTAAACAGAAATTAGATGGATATAAGAACACTACTGAACTCAACGAGCTCCAACTTTTGCAAATATTTAAAATTTCTTCCCACCTTCGAAGCTTCTTCGTATGAAAGTTAAAGCCAACACAAAAATATATATATATATATATACATAGTTTACAAATAAACAAGAAAAATAACGGTTAAAAATCAATAAAAATGGTGAGAAAGAAGAAAATATAACGAAATGAGAATAAGAATCGAAGTAATAATCAGCACTGGTTTTATCATCACCGCCATCACAACCGAAGAAGGAGACATAGGGTTCTCCCATGGAAACATCTTTAGGAGCTTTATCAACGGCTACAATTGAATTGTCGAGATTGGAGCTCTCGCTGGCGACTTCCTCGTCGTCGGCGTCTAGGAAACGAATTTTAGTTAGGGATGGGCACGGCGTAGGGCCGGGTTTTTGGCCGACCGCACCCCGTCCAGAGTAATTTTGATTTTTTCTCTCTCCGAACTCATCTTGATTTTTAGATTAAAACTACCCGATTTAAATATATTAATATTTTAAAAAAAATTAAAACAATATATTTAGAATTACTTATTATATTTAAACCGTTAAATTAATACATTTTATAATATTTTATATTTTTAATAATTAAATAATATATTTTAATAATATAAAATTAAAAATTCTTTATATATATATATATATAATAAATGGTGATTTTTCACCTTAAACCCCGTCTCGAATTTTTTCACTACATAACCTGCCTCGCCCCATCTCGAGCCCCAAAAATTTAAAAAAAAACCACCCCTATCGACTCGATACCCATCAGGTTCGAATATTTTAACCATCCTTAATTTTATTCCTTAAAAAATAATGTTAGTCATTAAAGTTATTCATTCATCACAAAATAATTATTGGGTCATTAATTTTGACTATATTTATGACAAGATATATTACTAAAAAAATTAATATTTAATTAATATATTATGTCATTCATTTACCAAAAGTAAAAGATATGGTGATTATTTTGCGATAAATTTACAACAGTAACGATTATAATATAATTTTTAAAGATTAATGGTGAAAAAATGTTTAAGGGTTCAAAATAGGATTAAGTACAAAAAAAAGTGAATAAACTATTCATGTTTTCATGAATAGGTTTGTCTAAGTGGCATATCTAGGTGTCTAATGTTACCAACGTTATTAATTTAAGTGTCCGGGCTACAACGATCGTCAAATGAAAATTGTTATCCATTTATTTGTTGACACGTGGCCATAGCTTAAGTATAAAATAAGTACCCAAACTATATCGTTTTTTCTGAATAGATGCCTAAAGTATTTTTGGGCCATTCAGGTACATAAGTTATAAACGTTACCTCTTTAGGTGCTTAACGTTACAAACGTCACCACTTTATGTGCCTCAGTGTTAATGATCGTTAAAAAACTCCGTTAAGTGACATGTGTCACAAAACCTAGAATTTTAAAGTATTTATTTTTTAAAAATAAAATATTATTAAAAAAACATGTGTTTCCCCTCCCCTGTAGTGTTCATTGTTAGGGTAAAACCGAATTAACTGATCAAAACAAAATTTTGGTCGGTTAATTTTGGATTCGGTTGATTAAAATTTAATGCTATTTTTTCAAACTTCGTTTCAGTTAATTTGGCTCGAAATCGATTAATTAACTGAATTAAACTAAATTATTAAATATTTAATATTATATTATATTATATATATATATATATATATATATATTATTTAGCTTTAGGGTGTTTAATCTCGGTTTTAATCGAATTAACCGAATAACCCAAAAATATTAAATATTAAATATTTAATATATATTATTTATAAATTTTGGTTAATTTGGTTAATCGAACTTAATTTGGTTTAGTTAATTTTTTATGGAAAAAAATGGTTCGGTTAACGGTTAAAGGGGAAAATTTTGGTTAATGAAATTTGGGTAATTCAGTTCTGTTGGTTAATCGAATTACACGTCTGAACACCCCTACTCCCCTGCCCGCGATTACCATGATAGATCAAATAAATTTAAGGGATTGGGTATTTGGGATTTTAGGGATTAGGGATTGAAATTGTAGGATTTAGGAATTTTAGGTTTTGGGATGATATTAAGAGTTTTTACTGGTTAGTGAATGGTCAACAACGTATGGGTGGTCCGTCGCCCGCGAATGGGTGGTCGGAGATGACCGACAGTTGAAGTAAATATGACTAAAATAAGAGATTTTAAGAGTTTAGGTTTTTTTGTATTTTATAAAAAAATGGAGGTTTCACAAATAAAATATTTTTAAGTTTTTTTTTAAAAAATAAAATTTTAAAATTACCAGATTATTACATGTGTCACTTAACGGATATTTTAATGGTCGTTAACACCGACACACCTAAAGTGGGATAATTTGTAATGTCAGACACCTTGGGCTGAAAAATACTGTAGGCACATATTCAGAAAAATTGTATAGTTTGAGCACTTATTTTATACTAAAGTCATGGCTACGTGTCAGCAAATGAATGGATAATGGTTTTTATTTAACAGTCGTTACGACCCGAATACCTAAAGTGATAACGTTGGTAACCTTAGACATCTGGATAGGTAGAAAAATTCTTTAGGCACCTATTCATGAAAACATGTATAGTTTAGACACTTATTTTATACTTAAGCCTTCAAAATGCTCTCAATTTTTTTAAAAAAAATAAGGGTAAAGTATAAATATGGTATCCAATTATAAGGTAATGTTTTGTTGACTCCCTCAATTACTAAAAATTATAAAATGATCTCTTAATTATAGTATGATGCTTTGTTAAGTCCTTCGACTATTAAAAGTTACAAAATGATCATCTGACTATTCATATGTTCTAAATTTATTTTTTGTTCTTAAAAATTTGACGAACTTTTGAGCTAGATGTTAAATGTTGAATGATATATAATAAAATCTATTGATTAAGTAAAAATAATCTTTCCTTGATTGTCATGTAAGTAATATTAACGATTATGTCAATACAATAATGATCAATGAACCTATTGAGTGGCCCGAGTGGTAGAAGAGAGTGTTGTTCTCCCTATAGATTTCAAGTTCAAGTAAGTATATCTATAAAGTGTATGTATATTGTCAACGACTAAAAAAAATTTGAATATATACTATTTTATAATCATCGCCAGGGATGAACTGAGAGGGAAGC